GACCCTCATCCTTGGAATAGGATGGGCTGGGTCAGAGGGGAAGCCTGGTCTACCGACATTCACACACACACATTGCATACACTCCGCACGGACACACACTCACACCCCCCATCACACGTCATGCAGACACAGACCCACACACACAGACACACACATCACAGGCCTCTTGGTGGCCACCGCCACCCCCAGCATCATTACAGCCCTCCCTCCGTTATATAAACTTCCTGTGCCCTCCAGTGTCCCCCGCAATCACTTACCTAATATTAGGATATTAAAAAATACGGCAAGATTTTAAGAGACTTATTAAAATGCAATTAGCAGCATGTACGACTTAAGCAGGGAGATTATTTTTAAAAATGACTTGATTGTGCGGAATACCACGCACCTTCCCGAGGCCGTAAACCTGCCAATCACGCACATTCTCAAATGAGGAGGTTTCCTCCCTTTCTCTTTGTCCTTCAGGGTTTTCTCCTGCCCCTCCCCCCTAGGAAGGCTGCAGTCCCCCCCCTAAAAGTGACACCCTACACACAGGCATACACTCCGAGCCCCCTCAAGAGGCCCCTCAGAAGGAAGCCAAGAGGGTTAATCAGGGCCAAAGCCAAGCCTGGAGAAGTTTCGAGAAACCGGCTAGAGGGTAGGCAAGGGGATGGAGGAGCCCTCACTTACCCCCTTACCCCCACCCCATAAAGATTTGGATTGGCAGAGGCTACAGCCAGAGTAAGGATGACAAACCGTCCTTGCTGAGAAGGGGCTGGGGATGCGAAGGACTGAACGGAGGAGGAAGAGGTCGTGGGGAGTGGGTTACTGCTGACCCTCTCTGCGGGCAGAACCACAGAGACCCCCTGCCGGCGGCCCCCGCAGCGCCCACTCGCCCGCGCTGGAACGGTGGGTTATGCTGCCCCCTGCTGCCCGCTCTGCGCACTGCAGCCCCGTTCCTGGGACCGGGTGGCCGAGCGAAGACGTTCGCATGGTCCGGGATCAGCCCTTCTCCAGCTGCGGGGTCCACCAGAAGGACCCCTGGATCTTCCACGCTCTAAGCCGAAGAGAAACACGCACGTGGAAACGTGTTGACCGCTCTCGGGCCGCCCCCTCCCGGGCAGCCGCCCCCTGGCTGAAGGAGTTTATCAAATGTGCTCGCTACTTCCTGGCATTAGGCTCCCGCTGGCACTTTTATTCCAACCATAAAAAGGCTATTTCATTGAGAAATAAAGTCCCATCTCCCTGACGTGTCACTCCTTTCGGAGCTCTTACTCAGCCGCCAGGCAAAATTTATGTTTCCTGGATGCTCTCTCCTGGGATTGCAGCTGGAAATTGGGGAGAGGGCTGGAAGAGGTATTTCTTTTGTGGCCATTGGACATGTGTTTATTCCTTTCGTCTAAGGAGCCCCGGAAACCCAAGGTGTCCGGGAGAGAGCCTCCGCCTTGGAATGAGGGGGCCAGATTGAGACCTGAGTCTGCCATCTGTTAGCTGTGTGACCTTGGGCGAGGCCCTGAGCCTGTTCCTCATCTGTAAAATGGGAAGAATAATTCCTTTCTTCTTCGGAGGGCTGGTACTGGACGCAGTGAGCACATGGAGGCAGAAAGCACTTGGAAGCTGTAGGAGGGTCGAGTATTGCTGTTATTGCGGAGGCAGAGGAATTCTCTGACTTAGAGGGGTGTCCCTGGCACAGATTCTCCCAGGCAGTGGTCCCCAGCCTCCACGGGCATCAGAATCACCAGGAGGGCTTGTTAAAACACAGATTGTTGGGCCCCACCCCCTGAGTTTCTGGGTCTGCAGGTCTGGGAGGACCCCAAGAATTTGCATTTCTTCTTTTTTTTTTTTTTTTGGTGAGGAAGATCAGCCCTGAGCTAACATCTGTTGCCAATCCTCTTCTTTTTGCTGAGGAAGACTGGCCCTGGGCTAACATCTGTGCCCATCTTCCTCTACTTTATATGGGATGCCGCCACAGCATGGCTTGACAAGCAGTGCATGGGTGCACACCCAGGATCCGAACCCGGGGCTGCTGCAGCAGACTTTGAGCACTTAACCGCTACGCCACCAGGATGGCCCCCGGATTTGCATTTCTAACGTGTTCTCAGGTGATGCTAATGCTGCTGGTCTGGGGACCCCACTTTGAGAACCACTGTTCTGAGAGCTTTGAATTCTGGCATGTGGGTCAGCTCAGCCTGGCCTTGGGAGAGGAAGGAGGAACTGGTGGGGGGGTCACCTGTGGAGCAAGTAGGGATGGACTTTGGCCAGCTACATGGGAACGAGCATCTGTCTACATCACCCCATCTTGTCCCCCCACTGTCTTGGCCTGATGTCTCTGGAAGCCCCCACCCCCAGAGACCAGATCTGTGAGCAGCAGAGGTGTCAGGAGGTGGGCTGAGCTGGGGAGAATGGACGCTCAGGGGAGGAGTTCTCACAGAACTGCATTAGAAACTCCTGACTTACCAGCTTCACAGATGACCCCACATTACCCTGGAGCGGAGGTTGCCTGACCATCCGCTCCTGTTTCCCAGCAGCCCGATGCTGAAACAGAGGCTCAGAGAAGTGAACTGACTTGCTTAAGGTCACACAGCTCGGGCAGGACACCCGGAGGAAAGCTCTTGCCACCATGCTGCGTCTCTGTTATGCAGTAATTTGGAGGATTACTAAGCGATGACTCTAATTCTGCTTTAAGTAATATTCAAATACCCAATGGAGACCTGCAGCTAAGGCTGGAAAAGCATGTAGTGATGGACGAAGTCTGTGTCTAAAATCTGGGAATTTGAGACCTTCAGCAGGGGAAAAACAATGAGCCTCCATGTTGCAGGGCGTCAAAACCGGCTTTGTGCTCAGGGAGGAAAACCCAGCAGGGTTTTCCTGGGTAACTGGACCACCGGCTATGCTGGGTAAGAGGAGAGAATGGCAATAAAAGCATCATAAACCCTGGACTTGATGCACAGAGTCACGGAGGAAAAAAGACGAGGATCCAAGCTGCTGAGGGTGGGGAGCTGCCAAAATCCCGGGTTGTCTGAGATCCCGCCGGCAGGGCGCTGACCCGGAGGGGAAGAACCGCTCCCTGCCGGGATTTCACTGATCACAGACTTGTCAGCTCTCAGCCGTCAGCTGGAAACAAATGACTGCAGGACCTGGGAGGTCTCAGAAAAACTGGAGGTCCCCAAGGCAGGGAAAACACTCGTGCATGTGTACACACGGTCCCAGGATCAGGCACAGGTGCCACCCAGGCCCTGCTAGCGGACCTAGAGCCCTGGTCACAGATCTGAGGTTGTCCTGTCTTGAGGGAGAACGGGAGACCACCCCAGAAGCCCCGGCACTTTCTAATTAAACACGACTGTCCCGGAGTTGAGTCGGTGCGGAGTGGAGCAAGGGGGGAGGAAGAGAAGTAAAGTGGTTTGTCCAGCTGCGTGGTGCGCTGAGCTGGGAAGAGTGCCCAGAACAGTTAATGCCCAGACCCTCTCCGCCTTGCAAATCGCCGCCCGCCTGAAGGGTGAGGAGCCATTTATGCCAGGTGAAGGCTGGCGATTTCATTAACTCCATTCCCTTTGTCTCGTCTCCAAGAGTACAGGGTGGTTAAACATGAGGAGGACTTGGTAAAGGGTCAGCCTGGTTTACAGGACTTTCTTGGGTGTGTGTGCCCCTAGCCCATGGGGTCCCAAAGCCGGTTGGCTCTGCAGAGATGGAGAAAGGGAAGAGGTGGATGGGCGGGGGCTGGCTGGAGGAGAGACAGAGAGACAAAGGCAGAGACAGAGACTGATTCCTGGTAGAAACACCGCAGGCTGGTGTATGAAATAGAAGATGTGACGTGTGTCAAACATCACCGGCAGCCGCCTCCACCGACTCATCTGGAGGCAGCGGGGAGTGGCACAGGACCGCAAAGAGGAGCCCTTAGAGTCACCTTTCTTTCCAGTGGGATGCTTGGCCTCTCTCCCCCAGAGCGCCCCCGTGTCCTCTTGCTGCCGCTCTTGTTCCTCTGATGTCCACTCTCCAGCCAGCTTTTCAAAGCCAGAATAAAATCCGGGCTCCCCCCCTCCCACCCATGCCCTCCTGCTCGCCCCACCAGCTTCAGTGGCCTTCTTTCTGTCCCCCCAACCCTCCTCAAGGCCCTTGTACTTGCTGTCCCTCTGCCCGGATGTCCCCCCAGCTCTTTCCAGCTTCACTCCTCAGAAGGGCCGCCCCAACCGTCCCACCCAAAGCAGCCCACAAAACCCCCCTCAAGCTGCGTGTGTGGGTCTCTTCAGAGCACTTGGCATTACCTGAAATTGTCTGTGCTTGTGTTTATGGTTGGTCTCCATCCCCCCACACACAAGTGCACACACACTCACACGCTCGCACCTGCATACACTAGACCTTTCACTCCTGCACCAGGGTGCAATTCTCTGTCCAATTCACTGTTCCCTTCCCAGAGCTGGAACGGTGTCTGGCACAGAGGATGCACGCCATAAACATTTGTCAAGTGATGGAGTCCAGGATCTGCACTACGGGAAGGCCAGGGGGTCTGGGGAACCAGCCAAGAATGAGCCCACAGTGTCAGCACTGGGCTCTAACCACCTTCCCCAGCAGCCTCTGAAGACCTTCTAGCCCCGAAGCCATGGGCTCCTGTGAGCTGATCCAGGCCTAGGGGAGGTCAAGGACTTCTTTCCTCCGCGGTCCTGGCCACCTAGCCAGGTGTGCTGGGCAGTGGCCACAGGCTTGTACCTCCTCCTGCTGCCTTCCCCTCTAGGTGTCAGGCTTGCCCTGGCACGGGGGCTGCCATCCCCGGGCAGCGGCCGCCTGCAGGGGAACCGCCTGGCAGGGCGGGGGACTGGCCCTGGAGTCACGGCTCCGATTCAAGAAGGGAAATCATCCGAGCTTTTAAAAAATTAAATGGAGTCAGTAATTTGATTTCAGAGAGAAGCTGAAAACCTCGTAATGGCAGGAGCAGCTCAATTCCGTGGTGAAAAGGAAAAGCCTTAAATGGGGCTATTAAGCTCTTGCCTGGGATGGATCTGCCCGGAGAAGGAGGAAGGAGGGGGCGGCAGGGGGAGAAGTCGTCCTCGAGGTAGAGACCGTTTATCAGCCGAGACAACCCTGATTATTTATTTATTTATTTGTTTCGCGTTCTGGGCGTCGCCGACGGCCTCCTCTTGGCCGCGTTTCAAATCCCACTTCCAGTGATGGGCCGGCCTGGAGGGGAGGGGGCGGTGCCATCCTTCCAGGGGAGCACCAGGTGCTGCTCCAGCTCAGGCCACAGCTGGGCTTTGGAGCCAGGGCTCCTGCGAGCGCTGGTGTCCCCGGGGGACAACGGGGTCACTGGAGCTGTCCAGGCCAGCGGGGTGCCAGCTGCTGCCATGGGAACCAGAGGAAGGGAGTGGTGAGTCATGAAGACAAAACAGTAATGTTCCTCATTCTCCTCCCATGGGGTCCCTTAGAGACCTGGGGTCCTGGCCCCCTGGGCCCTGGGGTAGGGGCGTCTCACATCATAGGATCTTATCACCCCACCCCCCAGAGATGTTGAAACTGTGGCTGAAGGCCTTCCATGCTCTCTTGGGAGCCCGAGTTGGGCTGCTGTGATTTGCCTTGATGGCAGCAATAGCCTCAAGAATGACTCACAGGTTCTGAGCACGTGCTGTGTGCCTGGCCCTGTGCTAAGGCTCTGTATCCGTTTCCACACTTACCCTTCCACAGCCCACCAGGGGGGAACTATTATCATCCCTCCGTTTGACTGATCAGGAAACTGAGGCACAGAGAGGTTAGTGCCTTGCCCAAGGTCACACAGCTAAAGAGTGGAGGAATGGGACTTGGACCATAGCAGCCTGCCTGCAGAGCCGGCACCCTCCCCTCCATGCCTCACTAGATTAAACAGCGAGAGGGCAAGCATGCAGACGCTCGGCTGGCCAGGGAGAGGCCAAGGGGCATTGCCCTGCACTCGGGTGGGAGGTCCAGGCAGGTGGGAGGCATGCCAGGACACTGCCCTCCCCACTCCTTTGCGCTTGGCGTCCGCTGGGGCACTCCCATGCCTCACTTTGGCAAGGCGGCCTCGCAGAAGCCCCTCCAGACATTCTGAAGCTCAGGAGGCCGGTGACTTTCCAGGCTGGTTGCTAACGTGGGCTCTGTCGGCTCCTGCCGGGGGTCATCTCCTGGCCAGCAGGGCAAGGGTCTGCAGGCTCGGCCAGGCTGGGTGAGGAAACACCCACGGGAGCCAGGGGCTCAGCATTTGCTGGCTGCGTGTGCAGCCCCCGGCTCATCCTGTTCCCATGGCCAGCGAGGGGCTGACTCTGGGCCTCGGGCTCTAGCTGACCCTCCCACAGCTGAGGCTGTGGGCTTCTTGGAGGTGGAGGCCAGAGGGCTCTCCAGAAGGGCTGTCAGGTGGCTGCTTTCTGCTGGCAGCTGCTCAGCAGTAAGAGCTGGCAGGGGGACTTCTGGACCCACCCTGCTTGTCCCCATGGGCTCAGGTCCCAAGGCCCTCAGATGGTCACGGGGGTCTGGCTGCTGCCACCACACCTTGGAAGTATTCGCCGTTGGGGCAGTGACTGTGGCAAGCATCCCCAGCAGGAGGGCGAGTCCTGGGCCCTCCGTGTCCTGAGCTGGTTCTGGGGATGACAGGTCCAGGTGCCCTCTGGCCCCCTTCCCGGGAAGGCCAGGCCCACTCTGGGGTGGCCCCGCACCCTCCATTATGAAGAATGTTTCCTGGGGCTCTCTGGGGGACACCTGGAACCTGAGGCCTCTTCAGCCAGGCTGGTCATCGAGGGCCTCGTCAGTGGCAGGACCTCCTTGCCAGCCTTGCCAGGCCCCCTGCATGGGCTCGGTTGCAGTCATACCACCTGACAACCCTCCCAGCAGGAGGGGACTTCCTGGTGGCTGGACAGGGTCCTGCTCAAGCCTTATAGTTCCTAAACGGTCAGTGAGGGTGACCGACAACCCTGAGACCAGGAGCACTTTGGACTGTTCAGACCTTGAGGAGAAGAGACATCTGAGGACAAATGCAGGGTTGGGGCCGTGGGGGCTGGGGTGACTGGATGTGGGGACCCGGGGCTAGCCTGGACAACTGCTAGGACTCTGAGGACAGTGCAGCTGAAGGGTGGTGTCTAGGTAACCCTGCTTCCCTCGGGGGCGCAGGGACCATGCTGATCCTGCGTGGCTCTGGGAAAAGGGAGACGGTAGATGCCCAGCTTCTTCCGCAGGTTTGGCTGTTTGCAAAAATCGCCCAAACTCCTTCAGCGAGAGGGCAGTGGGGAGAGAAACAGCATCAGAAATAGGAGGATGTGGGCTTCGGCTGCCTTGAGGCTAGCAACCCGGAGAAGAGCCTGTGGGGGCTGGGACCTCTGGCTGGTTCTCCAGGCTGTCTCCCGGGCTCCAGCCACAAGTCCTTTGAGGCATGCCTCAGTTTCCCTCTCTCCATTTGTGTGCACAGCCACTGACCCTCTCCCACTGCCTCCTTTTGCCAAGTCTCAAGGCCCTGGGAGGCTGTGGGCCAGGCAGGACAGCTGGGAGGGGGGCTGCCCTCAGGTGGGAGCTCTCAGGGCCCCAGTTTTCTCTGGGGAATGTTCTGAATTTGAGGAGGAGGAGACATGGCCAGAGGTGAGAGTGGGGCTCCCTTTGGAAGAATAGTGGTGAGAGAGAGGGTCCACCAATGCCTCATGGGGATGGGGCCCTTCAGAGGAAACCATGGGTGCAAGACAGGGCGATGGGCTTGCATCGGCCAGTCCATTGAAAGGTTGGTGAGCATAGCTCTGAGAAAGCCGTTCCCGGAGGCCCCCAAGGCAGCTGATCCTGCAGTCTGGAACAGGGAAGAGGCCGCAGATGGCATTCCTGCTGGAGAGGTCTCCGGTCCCAAGGATGGTGAGAGGGAGTCATCCTCAGCATGGCAGTTAAGGCAGGCAACTCCCTTCCTGAACCTTCCAGAAAGGAAGCAGAGGTCAGCCCTCCTCCTGAGGAAGCAAAATCCTCCGACACTCTGCTGGAAGGGCCATGCATGTCCCCTTTACAGATGGGGAAACAGGCTCTGGGAGGTCAAGTTCAAGCATTGGGAAATTCCTTGGCTGAATTTAACAGACCTTTGACCTGGAGTCCTTGTTGAGAATACGTGGGCATCAAAATCTATTTTTGAAATTGAATCACAGGTTTTCAGGTTTTCTGTAAAGCACACCTGCCCCCGACCCCCTGCCCCTGCTTGACGCCACCAGCTGGTTTCATCTTGAGCCATTCCCTATTTTGATGCCAGATACGTCAGCCCCGCCCAGGAACCACACAGCACCAGGCTCAGCCTTGACACTGGTGACTCTCTGGGCCAGATCATTCTTTGTTGCGTGTGGGAGGGGGCTCCTGGTCACTGTCGGATGTTTAGCAGCATCCCTGGCCCTTACCCACCAGATGCCACCAGAGCATCCTCCTGAGTCGTGACAATCAAAAATGTCTCCAGACATTGCTAAATGTCCCCCGGGAGGCAAAAATATGCTCCCGGGTGAGAACCACTAGGTTAGAGCTTGCAAATTCTGGCTCACGAGTCAAATACAGCCCTTAGACATGTTTAGTTTGGCCTGCAGAGAGTTTTAAATATTTTTTAAATTAACTGACAAAATTTTATAACCAGCTTCTCCTGGAAAAACAGAAGATTTGGCCACACTGGCCTGCCTCCTTACAAGGCAGGAATTAGCTCCAGCTAAGTGAGAGTACTCTCTTTAAAGGGGTCTGATGGCTGCCAATTCACCAGAGTCTCCACCCCTCCCTATGGTCTCCTACACTGAGCTTCATGGCCTTTATCATTGTACACTCCTGCCATGGTTTTCTTACCTTCCCTCATTTGCACTCCCTGCCTGACCCCTAGAGGCATTTTTGTCGGTAACCCCTGCTTTAAAATGTAAAACAGCCATAGCTACACCTCTTGGTTTCTCTTCTCCAGGCTGGACTCTCCATTGCCTCCCCTATTCTTGACATCCCTGATCTTAAATAACTAGGATTTCTCCTATAGGTTCTAACCACTTTCTGGGGGGGAAAGAGGAGATAAAAAAATATAATTTGTAACGGCCAAGTGCTTAGGCAATCCTGGTGCATTAATATCCCAGCATATTGGTCATGTCTTTACACAGAGAAATGCTCTTTGTCTAAAACATTTTTTTTTAAATTCCTAGTGAAAATTCAGTCTGACGAGCATTTATGAAGTGCTTACCAAGGGCAAGGCAGTCTGATAAAGCCCATGAAGAATAAAATGCTGAACAAGACACAGCCCCTGATCACAAGGAATTCACAGGCTAGAGGGAGAGATGGGAGCGTGCGCCAATAACTATAATAAGAATAGAAAGACCTAGAAGCTGCAAGGGAGGTGCGGGGAAGGTGTGCTGGGAACTGGGGAGGGGAGAGATTCATTCTGGCTGCTGATATTAAATTAATAAAATGAGAAAGAGAACATTCTTTCCCCATGTAAATCTTTCCAGAGAGGCCAGAAAGTCTTCCTACAATGTTCTTACTGCTATTGCTGAGCTATTTTTGTACTTTATTTACTATGCCCCTATCAAGAACCTTCCCTCTCTTCAAAGCCCAGAACAAAGGCCACCTGCTCCTTGGCCTCTCCCCTGAGCCCTCCTGCCCTCTGTTATCAGTCTCTGGACATTTCTTCTCTCCCATTCCAGACTAGACAGTGCTTGAGAGCAAGAACCCCATCTGGTGGCCTCTGGTCCCTCCCCAGCCTCCCCCGGGGCCTCACACTCAGCAAGTGCTTAGACAATATTTGTTGGATAAAGTTATAGCTCTCCCTTTCCAAAATCAATGTCATCACTGCAGAAAACCATTAAAACAAAAACAGCCGAAATGTGTAAAAACTTTCAAAAACATTTCCATTTTTAGCAGACTGTTAGAACTCATCCCCCATCCTGCCTTTTCCTTTGTTGCTAATTCTGAATTTGGGGCTAGATGTGGTAGGCAGTCCCCCCTTTTAATCTTTAAATATAGTTCTGACTATAATTACATTTTTATGCAGCACCGAAACATCATATCCTGGTAACGGGGCATTCCTGCACTATTAACATCTGAGTTAAATCTCCTTCGTGTCTGTCTTCTATTGAGGACAGTTAGGAAGTCTAAGATGAAAGGGATCGACATCATTTGTGAATTATGTGTATTTCCTCATGCTGTATTTCAATGGGTTTTGCTCCTGGTGGTTTTTCGAATACCAGGTTGTCTGGTAGCCGTGCTTTTACAGAAAACTCTTTTCAAGACTGGAAACTCAGCATCCTGGCACGGAGGACACACACCACGTTTAGAAGGGGGTTTGTCTTGGGTTAAGAAATAAGCTTCATTGCATAGTGCTCTTTGCCAAGGAGCCTAATCTGTCTAGTAAGTGACCTGAGAACTGGACGCCACACAGATAGCTGGGTGGATCAAAATGGAAGGGGCTCATCTGGTGCCAGGAACTCTGCTAATTCCCGTCGTCTCCAGTCGTCACAGCAGGTACCGCTATTCTCATTTTGCAGAGGAAAAAACTGAGGCTCAACAGGTCAAGTGACTTGCCACTGAGGTCCTGCAGCTAGCTAGGAAGTTGCGGTGCTCCAGGGCCCTGGCCGTCCCTTCCCTGGCAGTTTGACTCCAGAGCCAGTGACCACGTCACCACTTATCTCCCACGCCACTCCTGTTCCCGGGCCAGTTGCAGCCAGCATACCTGACACCACCACTTACCAGGTTGCGTGTGGGACCTGTCAGGCCCAGAAGGGGAAGCCTTGTCACAGGAGAGAGAACCACAGGGCCAGGGAAAGAGGGTTTGTGCAGCGTGTGCCTGTTACGAGCAGGCACACTCTCAGGGTGACTCACTCCGGAAGAAGAGGATGGAGCTGCCATTTCAGCGCCTTCCAGGCTCAGGGCCATCCTATAGAAAGCCTGCGTTCCCGGGGCTCCTTGGGCCTCCTGGTATTGCTATGGGGCAACGAGGAGTTAGTTGCATGTGGCAAGGTGCATCCGGTGCCCGATGGCTGTCCTCTCACGGGGCCACCCTGGCAAGAGTGCCAGGCCTCGGGGGCATCAGTGGCAAAGGTCCGTTTTCAGCCAGCCCCACAGTTCTGTTCTCCACTTCTCTGACTCCACATGGCATCAGTGGCCCGAAGGAGAAGGGGCCTCCAGAAGGGGCAGGATAGCCAATGCCACCACCAGGACACTGACCTGGGCCAGGAGTATTTCAGCCGCTGGGACACTGACCACCGCAGAGTCCCTGTTTTCAGTCACTGTGAAGATGCTGGACTGGTGAACTGAAAGGAACTTTAGTCTCAGGGCTTCCTCCAAGTGGGAACCTCTTTTGACCAGACCAGTCTCTGCTCGGGGATGTGAATTAAGACCTCCGACTCTGGCTGGGATAACACTGAAGGGGGGAAGGACGTGTGACACAGGAAAAGTACACATTTGTAGATACATGGACGAAAGGGTGGTGGCAAGACCTTAGCCAGGGGCCTCGCCCGCGGCCAGCACAGCACACTTCCAGGATCCGTGACATGAGATTACGTGGTGTTTGGTACCTTGAGCCTGAGCTGGAACTCGGCTGCACTGATGAAGAAAAGAAAAAGGCCACCCCAAACCCCAGGGGATCCTGCCATTTGAGGACATGCCAGGAGCAGGGCTGCCCCTGGGAAGCTGCGAAATGTGTCTGCCAAGACTGTCTTCAGCTTTGGTGACCTCGCCTGGTGCCCCTTCCATTACCAAAGCTGCTCTTAAGTAATAAAGCTCATATCAGTTGTTTACACTTTAGCAAGAATTTCGTTGTGTCAGCCCTCTCATGGGGGCATTTTAAGCCAGCTCTGCAGTTGCTAAATGAAAGCATCTGTCTCCAAATAAAGGGATTTCAAGCATCATGAATAAGGGAAGCGATGTTGGGGGACTTAGTAAAGCCTTCCCCAATGCCCTAAACTCACCAGAGCCCCATCATGGAATTTGGTCCATGATAAAATTCTACACAAATGTAAAGTCTTAGTCATCTCTGATCTACCCACACAGGATGAAGCCTTTGATCCACCTAACTTTGCATACAGATTTCCTTCGAATTTAAATTCCCTGGAGGTAGGAAGTGGACTTCCAGATTCTTGGCTTCTCTATACTACACCCCACGCTGAACAAAATTATTATCATACACAGAGTCTAGATCAGGGGTCCCAATCGCTATCAGATCACGAAGCCCTGGAGAGCCTGATGAAGGCTGCAGACCCTCTCCCATCTTTGTTCTCAGACCATCTCAGGACCTCGCAGGGGTCTGAAGACCCCGGGTTTGGAGGCCCCTAGCAGATGCTCTACTTTTCACCCGCAGTCTGCACCCCATCCATACTGCACACACCCTCATCCTTCAGCAAGAGCAAAGGTCTCTTTGTCTCAAGAAATTCAGGAATACAAGGCCAAGGTTGGCGCTAGAAGAGGAGAGTTGGTGTGGGACCACGGGGATAAGGTGCCCACAGGAGGGAGGAACACAGAAGGGGCGATGAGAGAGCCATGAAGCCGGAAAGGGTGGACATTAGGGGTGCTCCTGGGTCTCACACGGTGGGCAAGCGGCTTCTAAAGAGCAGGCAGAGCAGCCACTCACCAGCCAGTGGAGGGAGCTCCGCAGAGTGTTCAGCACCTGGTGAAGCAGGAGTGTCCCCCTGTGGCCTGAAACTGCTCCTTCCAGAAGCAACTCCCTCCACAGGGGCCCCCTCCCACATTCAGACTAGCCTCTGGACTAAACCCCCGAGTGTCACAGCGCCCAGGTCAGGGCTGTCACTCCAGTGCAACCAGGAAATACTATTTAGCCAGGGTATTTTTAGCAAGAAGCAAGCTCGGAGCAAATGTCATGTGAGCCGTCTTCTCTTACACGGCAACTTCGGGCTATTTAAAGAGACGGTAATTACGCTCCTGCCACCACGATCAGGATGAGCTGAATGCGTGATTGCAGGAGCCTGCCGTCTGCTGCGTGGAGCACTTGACACTAAAGGAGCCCAATTGTCGAAGCTGCCTGCCTAAATCTGTCCGGCCTCGCAGGCGGACATTTGGACCGGCACTGGAGGGGCGGCAAACTGCTCTTCGGGGCCTCGCAGCTGCTCCCAACAGTGGCTCCGAGGGCGCTATGCCTCGAGACCCCCCATCCTGGCAGCGCTGCTGCCACCACTGACCTCCCGCCTCTGAAGACGGTCTTGCCTTGGGCTTAGGACGGTGACGATGATGGTATTGATGTCCACGTATGATCCCATCAGGCTGGCATCTTCCAGAGAGGCAACCAGCTCCCCTCGAAGGGACAGCAGCCATGGGGTCTGGAGAAACAGGACACATTCATAAACAGTCTGGCCAAGGAGACACGGTCGGTAGGGGATCAAGAAGAAAGTGTGCTTGACGGGACAGTCAGGGAGGTGACAGGGCCAAGGGGATGACGGGCAGGACCAGGAGGCAGGGCAGCAGGCCACTCAGGGAAGAAGGCAAACCGGACACTTGCACCCCTTATTCTTTAGGGGAGCAGACCCCTCGCAGGAGCACTTGGCACATAGTAGGTTCATTCACAGTAAGTTCAGCCTCATTATGAGGCTGAAAGAATGAAGGCACTGGTACCTGCTAGCAATGCCAGCCAGGCAACCCATCCTCTGCCCAGGCCAGGCACAACTGGAGTCCTGTCCTCAGGTCCACCTGCAATGCTTTAGTGGGACATTGGCCATCGGGGCCTTGAATAAAGACAGGTGTCTAGATGGTGGGAAGGAGACAGGGAGGGGCCCCTGGCCCGTATCCTAGGAGGACAAGCAGGAGAATTCAGGAGATTTGAGGAAGGGAAAGCTCACTGACCCAAATATTCAAAGGGATGTGAAATGGGGAAGGGACCAGGTCCTTCCAGAAGGCTGCTGAGAACAGACCTAGGACCAGCAGAAGGAAGGTCTGGGGAAACTGCTGCACAATATGGGAATAGGTGGCCTTGCAAAGGAATGAGCTCCCCGTCACTGGAGACTTCACGGAGGGAATCTTAGCATGGGAAGGACCTCAAAGACCTCCCGTCAGCCCCCCACCCAAAGCTGGGGACTCTTCCTCAGATTTCCTCTTGGATGGCCTCAGGCCTCTGCCTGGAAGGCACCAGGGGAAGCTTCAGCTGCCAAGACAGAGCCCAGAAGAATTGGCTCTGTCCACCAACACTCTCCAAAGGAGAAGAGAAGTCAAAACCTTCTGCCTTGGAGTGTCCCTGAGCACCAGACCTGGCAGAACCTTCCAGAAAATTGCTCATGCCTCACCTACCTGTCCTCTGGTGCTTCCCAGGGGCAGGGGCAGGGAGACCTGCAAAACAAAGAAGAAGCAACATCTCCTGGCAAGCGGTAAGCAAAGGTGAGTGAGTAAACATTTCTGCCAGAGCACATAAGCGCTGGCAATTACCCCAGCAGGAGGCCGGCGAGAGAGCGGTGCCGGCCGGGTTGTTTGCTCATTAAGACAAGAAAATCATTTATGTTCTGGGACTCGAGTGTCAACAGACCCAGGGAAATGTCGTTGCCTCAGCTGCCACCCTGGGCCCAGCCAAGGGGCAGCTGGGGTCCCAGGCACAGCTGGTGAGGCCAAGAGCGGGTATGCATGGCACGGTTGCCATTCAGGATGCACGTCCCATCGGAGTTGTCTCCTCAGATCCTCCTATCTTGTTTTTCTCCCTAGTTCACCCGTTTCTCCCTCGCCTTTTTTCTTTCCTTTCCAGATCTAACAAGCAAGGGCAGAGAGGGGGCTTCTATGGGCTGGGCATGCTCACCATTGGCACCATACTTAGGGTGACCACCCACCCCAGTTTCCCAGGGACTGAGGGGGTTCCTCAATGTGGGACTTTCAGTGACAAAACCGGGGCAGTCCCAGGCAAACCGGGATAGTTGGTCACCATGTGGCACATGAGCCTCGTGGCCATCCCGTAGGGGGCACCCTTCTCCCCGTTTCACAGACGAGGGCGGAAGGTGATGGGTGAGCAGAGAAGCTTCCCTGGAGCCCCTGCTGCAGCCAACCTTTCCCCAGCTCTCCTCTCAATTCTTCCCACTTTCTCCAAACCCCGTTTTGCGTCTGCTTCAGACCTGGGCAAGGAGGTCTCGGCACAAGGAGGGCGTCACAGACCAGCAGAGGGTCCCTCGGAGCTCATCTGACCAACCCCCACTCCCGTACAAGGTGAGGAGACTGAGGCCAGAGGGGACTGACTCGCCTTGAGGACAACCCCCCCACCTTAAGATCACCCCCTACTCCTCCGTACAGACAGAGGGACTCCCAGGAGCAGAAAGCAGGGAGCTGGCTCACCCGCAGTTCCCAGCTCTGCTGCCCCTCGGCCCCGAGAGCCCCCAGTGGCAGCAGGCTCAGGACGGCCCACGGGGAGCCTTTTGAGTGAGCCCCGTTTGTCTTTGGAGGTGCTGCCTTCACTTGGGGAGCGAAGAGGAAGGAATGGGGAAGATGCCTGAGGTTTGGGGAGAGGATAAAGAGGACTCGGCACTTCCCTTTGCCACCACCAAAGCTGTCCCACTGTTCCCACACCCTGTCCCTCCGCTGCAACCCGGAGGAAGGCAGCGAAGTCCCGGAGGCTGGGCTTTTAGGCGGAGAGGAACAATTCTGCTAAAGAAGGAAGGGAAGATGCGACCAAGCGCGCAGCCAAAACGCACTGTGCCCTTTAAGGCCCCACGCGGAGGCTATATTTAGGGCCGAGGACATTCCGCAGGACCTCGGGCAGCCTTCACTGGGAGCAATCGCTAATCACTGCATTGAGTTTACGGGTGCCCCTGGGCACACTTAACCCAGGGCAATGAATAGTTATTGCTCTGCCTCCCGCTCGGGGCCTGTGGGCACACTTAAGCGAGCTTGCGGATCGCTGTGAGCGGGCACGGCTCGGGTACACCCTTGGGCACCCTGCGCCTTCAGCGGGAAGAGGCAGAGTATTAAATATCTATGTGCCCTGTGCCCACAGCTGCATTTAGCCAAGGGCAAGGCCGGTGAAACGGCTTTAATTAAAACTTAATGCAAGTTCAAGGTGCAGACACGGAAGCAGCGGCTGCAGAAGTCACCAGGAATGAATCAGTCAATTCGATGAGGTTCTCAGGTGGGGGAAGGAGGTAGTGAGGAGGGGAGGTGGGGCGGCAGAGACTTGTCTTCTGTCTCGTGCATGTTGCCCACCTCTTTGTGTCTGTGTTCTGGAATGTGGGGCCACCACACGCTCCCACATCTCGCTTGGTGAAGGATGCTGGGCATCCTGGCTTCAAAGGCAGGTCATCGGAGACAAAGCAAGCTCCTGGGCTGGAGCCGGTCCTGCTTTTCTCAGCAACTCAGCCCAGTGTCGCGTGACACTGACAACACTGTCCCCCTGGCGGCAGCTCCTAGAATTACAGGCCCAGTGCAGAGTGAGAAGTGACCAGCTAGAATGTCAAAGAACCTGGTGGTAACACTTAGGCATCCTGGGGTAGGGCCCTACGAGTCTTAGGAGACCAACACCAGGCTTGGCGTGGCCACTTGTGCTGCTGCAAAGGCAAACGGGGAGAGAAAGGCCTGCCCATTCGGCCCCTGGTCCTTAAGAAGCAAAGGAATATCCAAGGGGTCTGCCCATCTGCCCAGGATGGCAGTGAGCGGGGCTCAGAGCTAGAGGAGCTCAGGTCTTGGGAGCCTTGGTTGGGGGACTCTTTCTGCCTCAGCACACTCATTTTAAAATTCAGAGATGAGATCATAACTATAAGCTCTCCCTGGGGCAAGGGTCCACATCTCGTTCAAATGTGTTCCCTCAGCACCAGCACAGCACCTGGCATACGGTAGGTGCTTAATAAATGCTTGTTGAATGAATGGTGACTGTCATAGGCAGGCTTTTGCTCCAAACTCCTCCTTTCGTCTCTCCTTTCCTCTTCTCTCCCTTCCCCTCCCTCCTTTTTCCTCCTTCGTCCCATCTTCCTTGTCCTCTTGGGCGGGGGTCGCACACTGGCATCCCCCAGGCCAAACTCAGCATCTTCTTTGAGCCACACAATGTTTACAAAATTAAAGTCAACTTTTTAAAATTAGGAGATTTCACATATAATTATGGATTTCCAGTGTCTCCTGAAAAGTTGGAGAGTCTGCCCAGATGGGGCTGTGGTGGAGCGGAGGCTGCCGCTCTGCAGGGGCCAGGGCTGGAGGCTGTGCTGGCTCCAGCTTGCCACGGCCCCCACCACTCTGCCTGGTTCATAGCCCGGCCCTGCCACTTACCAGCTGAGGGGCCTCGGACACATCTCCTAGTCTCTCTCTGCTTAGGTCTCTCACCTGTAGAATGGGGATGATAACGGCGCGTGCCGCATGCGATGGCTATGAACACGAAATGAGTTAATATTTGCAAAGTGGTTAGAACAGTGCCTGGCACAGAGCGAGTGGCATAATAAATGCTAAATAAAAGAAGATAAGAGTACAATTTCTTACTGCCTCCTCAGTCTGGCACCTTCATTTTTGCTGCGAGTCTGGCCTTCGTAGGCATTTGCATTTGTAACCTCACCCACCTACCCACCCAAATCTTGTTTAGTTCACAGAGGCTCCAAAGGGACTAGAGAGAAACCTGACTTCAAAGAGCCCACAAGGCGGTGGAGGAGCTCATTTGGAGAGAAACCTCCATTTCCTGATCTTTAAAGTGGAGACATTACTGCTCATTGTACCTGAGGTCCTTTCATGGCTAAAAGTCTGTAATTCTTTGACGTTACCCAGGTCAAGAAGGAGCATCCAAACTAGCAACTTTTTCCACCCAGAGAGAAAGAACACAGCTTTAGTGATAACCCCAGTCCTCCCACTGTCCCCTGTGCCAGCCACCCGGGGAGGTTGAGAACGTTAGTTCAGAGCCTTTAACATTCCCACCTCTACCTCCTCCCTCCTCCCAACTTGCTCAGACGAAAGCCCAGTAGAACCGTGCTCCCAGCCAGTGCCCACAAATGTCTTCAGGGGAACGATGCCACACTGCACCTCCAGCTGCCACCTCTCTGCCCAGCCACGTCTTGAGGCTCGGGAGCCACGGCCTCTGGAGAGAAGCCCAGCCTGGGATGTCCCCCCATGCCCCTCCAGGTCCCCTGAGCCTGTTACCTGAATGAATGTTGGGCCCACAGTGGACGCTATCTTGGCCCAGCCTGGACATTGTCACTGGACACTTCATTATATAGCAGTCACTCTGCTCCAACCTTTTCACCCCTCTTTGAAATATTCTGATTTCTAACCTGTAATTTGCTTCTGGAAGTAGGGCAAAATTCACGCGTGCAAATGAAAGAAGAAAACACAGTTCGTAGGCTGCAATCATAGGTCAGCGACTGTTCACAGCGAATGTGATCGACACCAACCGACCAGAAGCCGGGCAGAGCTCTTAGAAGAGGGCTGGGAAGGGAGACGAAGGCTGCAGGGATTCAGAACCCGGGTCGGGCTTCCGGGCTCCTGCAGTTCAGCCCTGTCTTTGAAGCTCTCAGGGGTAGGGGACATTTGTGGATTTCAGGAAGGTCAAACCTGGTCAGACAGAATAAGAGCTTGTGCCTGAATGTCCCTTGACAGGTGGCAAACATTTGCTCACACCTCCTTCAACCCTGTCTCCTTCAACCCTCACAAATGCCTTGTAGGGCAGGCTTTCTTATGCCCATTTTACAGACGAGGCAGTTAGGGCTTAGAGAAAGTAAATGATGAAGGCAAAGTGTTGATGGGGTGGAGGTGGGGGGCGTCAATGTGGAAGGTGATTGCAGAAAGAAAGACAAAGAGAAGGAACAGGATAGTTCCTGAAATTTCTTCCCCCACTATGAACAACAACCCATTCCAGAGAAACCCTGGGCTTGGTCAAGGATGGGAGGACAAAGAAATGAAGGAGAGGAAACGGCAGTGTGGAGAAAAAGAGAAGAGAAGAGGAAAATACGAGGGGTTGGTGGGGCAGTTCGCACTCTTTCAGGGGCCAGGCAGTGGAATTAAGGCAATGAGAGTCCCCAGGGAGCGGTAACCCTCTGCCCCCCTGATTTAGCCACAGCCTAAATCAGGGTGGCCTCTTGTCCTCCTGGTCCCCAAAGAACCGTCACCTCTCCCTCTGACTGGCGTAAGCCCACCCCTCAAACCCCAGCTCCAAAATCCGCTTCTCTGAGCCTTCCCTGGACAGGGTCCCGGGTGGGGCCTGAAGCTCATGCAATTTGGGGCAAGGCCCTCTTTAAGAAAAAGAATACACAAATATCTCACTTTTACAAATTTTACAGAGTCGTATGGTCTTGTGAGCACATAAGGGGCCAGTGCCCTGAGGCTTGTGCTCCATCAGCTCTGAGGTCAGTCAGCCTCTGTGAATCTGGCAGCACCATTTATTCACTTCATTAAGAACTTACTAAGCACCTACTGTATGCCAGGCCCTAAGGCAAACACTGTGTTCCCCACCCCCACCCCCACCAAAGACACTCCAGATCTAGCAGGAGACTGCCGTGTGAGCAGATACGGTACTAATCAGGGTGGCAGGTGCAATGATAGAAGCAGGTACAAGCACAGAGAAGGAGCGATCAACCATCTGGAAGACTGCCTGGAGGAGGCAGCATCTGAGCTGGGTTACCACGCCTAGCGGTCTTTTGAGATCTATGCCCATAAACTCCACGAGGGCAGAGCCTGGGTGTCACCCCTCTTCTCTGACTCTCTCAGCTCCATTTCTACAGACGAATGACGCACAGTGTCCCCTTTCTTGACATCTGCACTCGGGTTAGCTCCTTCATTCTCCCAGAATGGAAGATGCACACGAGACATCACCAGGTGTCCCTACAGAAAATATTACCCAACCCACCTCCTTCTGCAGGAAGCAAGCCAAGCATAGGACTCGAAAAATGAAGTCCCCATTGGGATCCGGATGCAGGAAGCAGCCCATTTGGCAAGAAAAGAATCCAGGTGGTTGGGGTTCCTCTGGGTCCCTATAATGAGAAAAGGACAGAAACGTGAATTGAGCCTGCTGGGGTCAGAAATCTCAGACACCTGGGTGTAAACTGAAGGGCTGCTCTGCCTGGAAGCCCCTCACCTGCTGCAGGTAAAAATAGCAGTAACGGGAAAGGCCTAGAAAGATACACCCACGGGAAATCCCGTTGGCTCTACCTTCAGAATATATCTGGAATCCTACCCCTTCTCCCACTCTGGTCCCTGGCCCAGGTTTCTATAGCTGCCTCCTCTCTTGTCTCCTGGCTTCCACCCTCACCCCTCATTGTCTGCACTCCACTCAGCAGCCAGTGGGATCTTGTTCAAAACTAGGTCAGATCATGTCCCTCCTCTGCTGGAACCTCCCCACTTTTCACTCCAAGGAAAAGCCAAAGTCCTTGAAGGCCCCACATGATTTTGCCCCTCGCCTCCCTGACCTCCTCTCCCACCTCCCTCCCTCTGCTCCAGCCACACTGGCCTTCCTGCGACTTCTCAAGCATGCCATGCACGCTCCTGCCTCAGGGCCTTTGCACTGGCTGTGCCCTCTGCCTGGAACTCCCTTCTCTTAGATAACTGCAGGGCTCCCTCCCGACCTCCTCACTGAGGCCACCCTCTTATCGCCTTTATTCTTCCTCTGCTTCCTTTTTCTGTAGCTCTTACTATCTTCTCCCCTGCTATCTAATTCACTTATTTATTGTATTTATGGCTTGTCTCCCCCCACCCAATGTCAGCTCCATGGGGTATTTGTCCGTTTTGTTCATCACCGCATCCCGAGCAGTGACGGGTATATAGAGGGCTCTCAGTAAATATTTGATGAGTGAGTGAAATATAAAGAGGGCTATCTCTGGGTAGAGAGATTATGGGTAGTTTTTATTATCTTCTTTGGATTTTCTCTAGTTTCCATAATTATCTTGTACTGCGTTTGTCATGATTTTTTTAAGTCATTTTTAACAGCTCACAGTTTCATTTTCAAATTCTTGACTCAATTGTGTATTTGATGGGAGATGACGACGCTCTTTCAAAAACCAGCCCTGGAAGCCTTTACGGGAGGGATTCTCTGGTGACATGCTTTCCTTTTAAAAGCCCACAGCTTCTACCTCTATCTTTAGCGAGAGATCAAGGCCGCGCCTCTGGCGGAGGGAGGCTCTGAAAGGCAGCAGATCGCTGGGGAAATAAAGTGTCTGAGCCTGGATGTGCAAATTGACCTGGATCATTTTAGCTTCGCGTTCACGTTTGCACTTTGTAAATATTTGCCTGGCATCCCGCGGCTCACACCTGCTTGCTGTCCCTTCAAGTTTATGGAAGGCAGCAGGCACCGTCATTTCTCCGTCCCCACCTGGCGCTGCGAGCGCTGCCACCAGACAAGAAAACTCTGCCGCGAAAGCCACAGGTGTCTCTGACAGCGCCTAAAACTAATGGCCTGTGGCTGGCCGCTGTGACTAATTCTCTGATTATTGACTTTATGATTTTACGCTTAAAACTTCTTTATAATAACACACAGAAATGTTTAATGGGCTCTATCCAGAGCCATAAAAATTACTTATTGAACAAGCGTTTTAAAACTATTAATCTATTGTTTTCCATTAATAATGGCTCTCCAAAGAACGGGCGACAGCTTAATGTATCCACAGCGTTTCTCCTCAAAAAGTGGCCTTTTAATACGTAAATGCCGCCCCCAAGGCATCGCGGGCTGGCTGACCATCCAGCAGCTGACCCTCCCAGGACAGATTTAGGCTCCACCAGTCCCGGAAGGTGCTTTAAGGATTCCCAGAATGAACAGGGGCCCTGGGAGATTTTCCTAGTCTCTGAGAGAGATCTGAAAGCCCCTCTCCTCAATTTCTCTCTTTCTGTGCAAAAGAGAAGAGGAATTCCGGGGGGCCGTCGTGCAGTGCCCACGATGGAGAGCATAGAAGGGAGCTGGCAGTCTGCTCATATCTCTACTTCTGCTCCTTCCATAAGTTTCCCGGTAATCACCTGGTGGTACCCCCACCCCCACTTCTTCTGTTGGCAAGCCCACGGCTGAAAGTTTTCTGTGACACTATGCCCCTGTTTCTTTGCTATTTTAGGTGCACAATTCCCCACCAAGCATGGCTTGGTTCCCACTTCAGGTGGCTGAGAATCGCCCGTTAGCCCCACATCCATTTACTTTCCTGTGTGACTTAGATTTTGGAGCATATCAGCACCACATGGGCACTTCTGGGCTTTCAGGCTGTTCGTTCACTCAACAAATATTTATTGGGCCGGCCCCGCGGCGTAGCGTTTAAGTGCGCGCGCTCCGCTGCTGGCGGCCCGGGTTCAGATCCTGGCCATGCACCGACGCACCGCTTGTCAGGCCATGCTGTGCCGGCGTCCCACATGAAGTGGAGGAAGGTGGGCACGGATATTAGCCCAGGGCCAATCTTCCTCGGCAAAAAGAGGAGGATTGGCATGGATGTTAGCTCAGGGCTGATCTTCCTCACAAAAAAAACCAAACAAAACAAATATTTATTGAGTGTCTACTGAGTACCACGTAGTGTTCTTGGTTCTGTAACTACAGTGATAAACCAGAAACACAGGGGCCCTGCCCTCACAGAGTTACCTGCCGTGCGGGGAGCGCAGGGGACAAGCAGGTGAACCACTGTAGATGGTTTTATGTAGTAATGAGGGCTGAGAAGCAAACAGGATGAGACTGTGACTGGGGGTGGGCAGGGACTGCTTTAGATGGAG